GGTCCTTCAAGAGGAAACGCGAAGCGAGAGGTTCGACCTCTTGAGCGGCTCTTGCGTTTGAAGACAAACGAAGTTATGCCTCCGAATTTTCTACCCTCCTTCCAAAACGCCTTCCGAAAAAAAAACGATGTGGTAAGTTTACGGGGCAAGATGTCCAGGTCCCGTGCCAAATGTTTGCTGCTCCACCCCCTCTTGGTGTTTGCGGTGAGCTCGAGTTATGTCCCGCGAAAGTTTAGTCGTAATGCATTCGCGATTAGAGCGCCCTCGGCTGGGAGGACATAGGACTGAAGAGACTGAGGTTTGAGAACGGGGTGATCACGGTGGTGGAGCGGCGAGGAAAGCAAAACTGATGCGCGGAGGGACAGGGCAGAAGTCTCTGACGAGGAAAAAGTTCGTGGAACGAAAGACACTAAACCGTTCACAATCGACTTCCGAGCCTTGAGGTCAGGGCAGCGGAAAGATTGTGGGGGCTGTGAAGTGTGCTGTTAAATACATTGTGATTGCTCTATTTGACAGAAACGCAGTGAGAGCTAGTACATCTTAAGGGAGGAAGAACATCTCAAATGCATCTTGCACCCAAGTCAGCACCTGTTTCCTAGTTCACAAGAAACTTTGATACAAAATTATTCATGATGTGAAAGACATACTTGTATTGCAATGGATGAAAGTATTGCAATACTAATTGACAAGTTCATTAAATAGTTTCACGCATGATGAGAAATCCACATTAAACAGAAATATTAATTTCAAAATATATATTCATAGCACTTGTTGCTATAACTCTCAGTTTATCATATTTATTATTTGTCATATTAAGTACTAGAGTATGCGAATGAAGTACGTGTTAATCGTAGTTTCCTATCACCTCTCTATAACATTCCTGCCGTTCTTAGAAACGACAAGTTGATTAATTCTCAAATATGTATCATTGCAATTCATTTGTAATTGTAATAGTTGATGCTTAAATACTGCCGTAGACAAAGAAAATTAGTGACAAGAAGCTACTGACAGAAAGGAGACAGCAAGTTTGAAGGTGCAGATGAAGAATTTTATTCCATATTATCACTGTAATTTGAATTGAAGTGGATCCACCAATATTGCCATTCACACATATCTTGACATATATTCAACTTAAAATATTGGGAGCGATGAACTCTATCTAAATGTAATTTATATCGAATCCGTTATATCTTGTAATTACTTCGAATTAATTAAGAGTATTCTAGATGAAAACAAAACAAAATATTCAATTTACACAAAATACATGTTATCAGAACCCCTGATATTAAAACTTAGCTCGGAAGTTAAAATACTGAATTGCAAATATGAAAAAATGAAAATAAAAAATTGTTTATTTTGAATAATTTTCGAAAGAGATATTTGGATAAACGATTTGATATTCGATGCGAACCGATATATTGGTCGCACCACTCCTGCATTATTATCAGCATGCGGGCGCGGAAAACAGTTTTGCGCTTGGTACAATAAAGAGGCACAGCTACAGCTAGTGCTTGTTCAACAGTGTCAGTAACTGGTGGCTATTCAGGTTAAGTATGTGAAGTACCCTTGCATCCACCTGCACCAATATCACGCATGACGTAAACTAGACTAAACTGCATTAAACAACGTGGTATTTGCAAATTTTACTCGAATTGAACTACAGTATGCGGAATGCTCGGTTACATACTGAATTCACTGGCTTACTTGTCATACATATCAATAAATACTTTGTATTTAGATTGTCTTGATTCAGTCCATTCACATAAAAAATACTTTGATTCGTTCAGAGTTCGTATCCAATTGAATCCAACAAATAAATATGGTGCAGGTAAAAGAAGGTCAAATGCTTTTTTATGTTACAGGTTCTGACTTAAACATTCAAGCAGATTTCCATAGACCCACACTTATTGATATTACTGTACATGTAAATTATTTTAATAGTTATTGTTATATCTGTACGTGCAATTAGTAAACGACCAATACTTATTTTATTTGGCTGAGACCCGCAGGTCTCGGACAATTGAGCTGGTTCAAGAAACAATAATTTCCCTCATAAAGTACAAACAGTTATTTTCCATGATGGCACAAAACTGCTTCAATAGCGAATAATTATTTGTTTCGGCCCTACTCTTCATTTCTATCGCAACAAAGAACCATCTCCGTTTGCTCTTATTTGAGAAAGGTTTTTTGTCACGGTGATGTGATGTTTTACAGATGTCTCAAGGACACGCACGCGCTGCTGTAGCACGCATAGCTGTACATAAAAATCGCTCATTTTTATAAGACAGAAAAAGTTTATATTAATACACGCAAGGCATGCACGAAGAGTAGCAAGCAAATACAAGGAATATTCCACAGTTTTGAAAGAACTCTCGCGAAATCATTTCCATCTTAAAATGCATAAAAAATACATTAACATCCCTACGTTTTAACGCGATTTGCGTCTAGCGGTTTCTTATTTAAAAGACAAGGTAGAGAAGCACTTCCTTACACTCCACCACATCCAGCTCAACTCCACATCTCCAGGCGTCGGGGGCATCCGCCCGCCCGAACGTGGCGCCGTCTTCGCGCATCACTGCGTCCCCCGCACATCAACGCTCCGGTGCGCCCCTCCCATCCCCCTACTCTCCCCCTCACGCCCGCCCTGGCGCCTTCTTTCCGGGCCCTTCGCGCCACTCTGACCCCTCGATCCTCCGTCCTTCCGACCACCCCCCTCCAGGGCCCACGCCCCGCCCGCCCGCCCGCGCTCCTGCCGTTCCGCCCGCTCCACCCCGCTCTGGCCCCCGCCCCAGAGCCCACCGCCGCCCCAGCCCCACCCCGTCCGCGCCCGCTCACCACCCCGCACCGCCCGCCCGCCCGCGACCCTGCTGCCACCGCCCCGCCTTCCGCGGGCGCCCGCTCCGGGCCCGCCCCGCTCCTCCCGCTCCACCCCGCGCTCTGGCTCCGCCACAGCCAACCCCGCCCCAGCCCCACCACTGCCCCCGCCCGCGCCCCGCCGCGCCCACCTCCCTCCGTCTCGGCAAAACGCCTACTCCGCTTCCGATCGCGCCAATCCGGGCAGCTCAACGTCCGCGCGCGCTCCCTGGCCGCTCCTCTGCAATCGACTCGGCGCGCGGCCCACCTCCGCGTGCGAATCCGTTTCACCCCGGAACGCGGCCAGCCGCCCCGATCCGCAACCGATTCGACTCCCAAACGCTGCGGCCCGGCCCCCAGCCGTCTTCCCAACAAACGCCGCCGGTTTGCTGGGCGCGCTTTCCCTACATGCAGCGGTCCCTGCACCTACATGCGTAGCACTCTTTTTCTTTTTTTCCGGCCGGGCTGGATGCAACTCCAGACTGCACGTCATGCTCATCTTACAACTTTTCGTTTCACCGATCGTCACCACTTGAGGGTTCTTGGCTAGTTTCTTCATGCACGCGCAGCGCTACAAGTGAAAAAAGGGGTTTTTCCCACCCCCTTTGGGAAAAAAAAAACCCCCCGCCGCGCCCTTTTTATTTCCACAATAGTACGCGGCATTCTAACTGAACGGCTACCTCAACAGCAAAACGTTCCTCTCGCCCCGTCCGCTACTTGCCTCCGGCGGCATCACAGCGATGTTCCAGCACCTCTATTTTGCCTTCTACGCTTCCAGCTAATTGCCTCTATTCCGGACCCGTCTGCACTACTTCCGCACCTACTTTCCACACTCTCTGCGACGATATGTGACCTTTTATGTCCACCGCACATTTCTCCTGCCCACGGGCGCGCTTTTCAGTCAATCACTAGTGCCCCTCCAAATTCCTACCGGCGCTGCCGACGTCGCTTCGCTCCCTGCCTACAGGGCCCTTTTCGTCATCCTCCTCCGACGGGAGACCGCACCTCTTTCCGCGCGCCCCTCTTCCCGCCCGCCTTCAGCACCACGCCTCGCGCGGCTCCGCGACCCGCGAAGCGAGCGGCACGCTTTTCGAACGTGAGCCGACGACGCGAATCCCACTCCCCACCACGCTCCGGTGGCGGGTGCGTTCCGCTAGACGATGTGCGGGGGCGAGATAACCACGAGGACGGCGAGGTAGGGCGGGGAATGGAAGCCGGAGACGGGCGAAAGCCCGGAGCGGCGGGGTCCGCAACGGCGAGGCCACGGCTGCGCGGCGGGCCCGCGCCCTCCGCCTCCGCCGCCCCCGCGCTGCTCGCACGGACCCGCCGCTGGGGGCTATAAACGCGGAGGAGAAGGGTGGAGGGTGCCGGGGGCGGGACGCTTACCCCCCTGCGGTCATAAAACGAGATGAGCTGACAAAAAGAAGTTAGTGATTCTAACACAATGTGTTGATTTGGTTGATACCGGCGGCCGCCATAATTTATTATTCCCTTTTTATGATATGACTAACGGTAATAAGTAATGCCGGCCGTCCGCCGGGGCGGGCCGGGGCGGCATCCGGGCGGGGCAGGGGACAGTGGTACTCCGCCTATTCTCTCCGTTGGGCTGCGGCGGCACGCCGCACTGCCCCGCTCATTCTCACCTTACCACTTTTGTTCACTCACGCTCACGCCTAGGGGCGGTTTACGTCGTTCCCCCAAAACAAGGGCAAACATGGCAAGCGCCTAGGAAGCGCCAACCTCACAAGAAGGTAGTAAGTAAGCTACTATATTGGCCCGGTTAAGTTTTAATCAGTTTGTTTTAGTCTCTATAAATGTGCCACACTCATTGTACAGGTTTTAGAGTGGCGTTGCCTCTTCGGCCCTCCGCCCCGCCTCGCCCGGCCCCCGCGGCCGCACGCCAGCCGCTCCCGCGCCCGTGGCCGCGCACGGCCTCCGCTCGGCGCATTTTACGCGTGACGAATGTGTTGGCTGGCCCACAGCCCAGCTCGAAGAGGAAAAAAAAGCAAGAGCTTGACTACTAACTTCTAGAAACGTTGTGTAGAAAAAAGGAGAAGGGCAGCCTTGTTCAGTTTTCTCTATAAACAGAAACAATATCTAGGGGTATTTTTTTTTTTTTTTCTTTTTCGATTTCAAAACGCCGCCCGAGCGAAGCAGCCGCACGGACAGACTGTTGCTTGATAAATTGGGCCGACTCAACATCCCCCCGGCCGCAATGATCTCACGTGCGATTTTTCCATAATTTAATTAAAATATTTTTCTGAGCCGATCGTGAAAGGGCAAAGAATTGGATTGCGGAGGGAAAGAGGTGCGAGTCCGGGGCGAAAACAACCGGCTTTACATTCACGAGCCTGTTTACGGGCGTGGAGGGATGGGGGCGGGAGGAGGCAGAAGAGGAAGAAGGCGGGAGATGGCGGGGACGTGGAGCGGACGATGGAGAAACGAAGGTGGCGGGGGTGACTCGAGGAAGAGGAGGAGGAGAACGCGGCAGGACGGGGAGAGCTAAAGAGGCCTGGGCGGGGACGGCTGGCCGAAATCGCGATGAGATTGCTTGTGTTCGGAGGGGGGGCAAGTACGTGCTGAGGAGAGAGCAAGGCAGTGGAATGGGAAATCCTGGAAGCGAAAGAATATTCGCCAAGACAACGATAGAGAGCAAACCTAACTGGGTAGTGGGGGAGAATTTAGAGAGTGGCGGGATTACGAAGATTTAACTCGGGACGTGAGGCAGGTGCTACGTGGCATCTTGAAAAGTCACGTTAATAGGAAGGAAATGGAGGTGTGGTTTTGGAGATGATTTACAGAAAAATGCAAAGGTGTCAAGTGGTTTGTGGGAAAATTGGAGAGATGTGGATGTATGTAAAGAGAATCAGAACTTTCAGACAGAATTTTTTTTTGTAGAGGGGTGTGATTAACTTTTCCGCAAAAAAACCAAAGATAAAGATAAACTTTTCGGGTTTAGAGAATACTGAAAATAAACGGGATGTAAATCAACAAATTGTTGGTATTAGTAACTTATATATGTAGCCAATCACATTTTTTTAATAAGAAAGTATTTATTGACAGCAAAGGAAAACTGTTATATAGAAAAAATATGCGATATTTGTAATAAGCATATTGTTTGATTTTCAATTATCAAATATGAAACTCTCGTTAATGTGAATAAGTACTTAGTGATTAAGAATTACGGCTCAGTTCGGCAAGCTGATAATTTTTAGCACTTTTTATGTTCGCACCATCTTTGTTTCTGAATTACATAATTTTCATATAATATCTCACGGAAACTATTATTGTAAGGAAGGATGTATCGGGTACAAAGATCATTGCGAACACTTCTGTTACGCTATTATGAATTTACTGGTTTATTACCAAGTTTTTACTGGCTTACTGCCAAAGAAAATAATTTAAAATATAAATTAAAAATTAGAAACACATCATAATGTTATTTATGGCACAGGCAGAATGCATTAAAGATAATTTTCCAGCGATTAATTCAACCAATTGAAAGTTTTCCACAAAAGCTTGCCTATTTTATACGAGAAAACATTCGAATAAATAATTAAACAAGAAAGTTAGTCATTCGGACACGGGTGGTGAAGGTAACGTAGTGCAAAGAGGTAGAGTGGCATTTTATAAGACGCCCATCGCGGAGTTAATGAAAAAGTTGCATGGAAGGTGGGCCGCAACCCAGCTCGGCCTCTGCCGTTTCAGCAGGCGTGGGCTGTCGCGGGGCAGGCGGCAAAGCGGTCAGGCCCACGAACGAAAGGGGAGACTTTGCGTCGATGTGCAAGGAGCGCCGGGGTAGCGCCGGGCGACTAAGAGCGACGAGGGGGTTTTTGTCGGTTCGACAAGGCGAAAGAGAGCAAGAACAAGGGCCGCGGCGCCTCGCATCATTCTCGCTCCGAGTTCCGCTCGCCCCGCGCTTCGGCCTCCCCGGTGTAACCGCTCCCGCGCCCGCACCGCCCGGCTCGCCCGCGCGCGGCCTCCCGCCTCTCCCCCGGGCCACTCTCTTTAATAAATGCTTACTCCGTAATTTTGTGTTTCGAGAATTTACCACCAAGAGAAATTATGGCGGCACCACACTGCAAACCCCAGGCACACGCCTTGTATAGTTATCGCTATCTACAAAAGGCAAAGGGCAAGGGGTCCCAGGCCCGGTGGTTTTTATGCACAAACGCAGCCCTTTTTGATCCCCAAAATACTGCGGTGCCCGCCATCGCCCGTTCCGCGCGCGCATAGCTGGTGTCCCGCAATCCATTAAATTTTGGGCGGGAGGGGGGAGCGCGGGTTCAAAAACCCTATGTTTTTAATATTTGAATAACCGCGGTTTCTAAAGCGGGCAGAGAGCACGGTGGCTTGAAATATTCCGCTTGCTGCTATGTACTCACTCGCAAGCCGAGCCATGGCTAGTGGAAATGTAAGGAAAAAGGAGTGTTTATCTTAATTTGAACAATATACCGCACCAAGGCACAGATTAATAAGGGATTAAAACACGACCCATCAGGATTTAACGGGCGCCACCCGTTATATTATTTGTTCCTTCGGGGGATGCAACCGGGCGTGAGTCCGAATGCACGCGAGAGATGTCGGGTGGCGGGCAGGCTTCGCGGCTGTGCTATACTGAAGAGATAGGCCGGCGGGCGCCGAAAGGGGGATATCGGCCACCGCGCAAGCCCGTGCGGCGGAGGGGGAGTCGGTCCGCGGGGGCGGGGAGGGAGGAGGA